CCCTCAGCAGTGTGTGGCTGAGAGTTACCACCTACAGCCATTCCAGCTGGGAAGGTGAAGCAGACCCTGGAGAAAAGTCTATTTCTTCCTCAGATTGGGAGGTACTAGAAGAAACTCTCCCCCTGTTAGGGTGGTCAGGCATTGGAATGGGCTGCCTTGCCCAGGGAGAGGTAGAGTCACCATCCCTGGAGGTGTTTGAGAGGCATCTGGTGCTGGGTGCTGGTTTACAGGTTATGGGGTTATGGTGGCAGTGCTGGGTGGATGGTGGGCTTGGTGATCTAAAGGTCTCTTCCAGCCTTGATGATTCTATGATTTAATGAAAAAACTGCTGTTAAGAAATCATTTTCGTTAGGAAGTAGCCACAGAAAATGGATGGCAACTGCAGGCTGTGACTCAGGATCACGTCAGCTAGTGCTTTTTTACGTGATGGTTCTTTTCCTGATGGGGCTGACTCAAAAACTCTTTCTCCACTTAATGGTAATAGACAGCTATTTCACAATTTCCAACTCTTAAGCCACACTTTGCTATTTATGGCAGCATTCTCTCCCACAGATGCTGCTATCTTCTCTGCTCATAGCTAATGCCTTAAGCATCACAATTTCCTGATTTTTTTTTTTTTTCCCCAAAGGATAAGTGTATTCTTTCTGTCTAATCCAGGATTCTCACCAGTCAGCAAAAGCGACCTGGACTTGGCAATACATCTACTTTTTAGACTCTGTGAAAAGGGTCTGCTTTAATTTCATAGATGCTAAATTAGATTTTATCTTAAATATAGATCTTAGCTTTATAGCTGCTACCACTTGAGCCACACTTCTTTTATAGCAGGGGTCTGAGGTATTGCCAAAACTGGCAAGGGAGGCAAAAGGGTTTTTGCATTCTGCACACTCGTTTGTGAAATGTGATGTTGTAGAGGTTTATGAGCCAAAATTATGGCTAGACTGTGTGGGTGCCAGGATTTGCAAGTCTCTACTGCCATTACAGCTGTCACCTGCAAGAACTGAATGGAAGATTTGGAGCATCTGTGGCAAGTTTATTCCCTAAACACAAACAGATGAAACTCCCTCATTCCCAGCAGCTCCAAGAGTAGATCGCAAAAATATCAAAATTCTAGCTACCTAAAATATATTAGAAAAAACTCTTCTCTTTAGCATTAATAATTCACATATGTCAAGGAAAAGAAGTGGAAATAGATAAAACGGATTCTGTATTTTTGGGGTTTGCCTCTTTCTGGCTGCCACCTCCATCCTTGTAACCTTGGCACTGAAGATGACTGGTAGGGAGAGAAAAGGAGATGGCTACTTTTTTTAGAATCTTTGTCTAGAATAATAATTTTTATCTCCTTTTGGTCAAAAGAAGACCCTTTTATTCTCCAAGGCTTGGAGGACTCAGTAGAGGACAGTAAAGTCATAGCAGAGACAAAAGCAGATTTTTTTTTTTTTCCTGAGGAGTTTTAACCTCTTTGAAAGTTGTTGGAGCAGCTTCAGCCTCTTACATTTTTTCTGTTCTTGTAATTCTTATGTTTGGGGGAGTTTTTTATTTAATTTAAAAATAATTTTTTAGTGACTTCCCTGTCCTCTTTGGGGAAAGTTTCTCTTGGAGCCTGTGTGCCTGGTACACTGCTGCTCATATCTCAACAGCAGAAAATGGCCTTTCTGAACAAAAAAGTGATTCCCATTTTATTTTAGGGACACTGTGGGGAGAGATTTGTGCAAAGAGGAAGAGAAAAAGCAACAGCAAAGAGAAAAAAAGTCCTCAGTAAGATCTAACTGATAACTGAAAGGCAAAAAAAAATTCTATTTTATTTGGTATTTTAATAATGTTTTCATTCTTCATAAAAGTGGGCTTTAAAAAATAGCCTGAAAAACCAAGCCTAATCCTGACATGATTTTTACTGGACAACCTGAAGCCTTGCCTAGACTTGTCTGAGACAGGGATTTCAGAGACTCTTTCTGGCTTTCCGATAAAAATGCATCAGGATTCTGGGAGGATGGATCCTGAGAAGCTGGTCTATAGACAGCCTTGGCTATGGGTTCTCGAATGGGAAAGGAAACCTCACTGATGACACCTAGTGTTTTCCTATATCCCAGGAGAGAAGGCTCCTCTGAGGGATACCCAGGGGGCCTTTCCTCCCACCGGCTCTGCTAATGAAAACCACTGGAGGTGCAAGAATGGTTTATACTCATCTTCAGTAGAAGAAATGGGCTTCTGGCCCATTGTGGGTGTATAATGACCCTAAGAACAGAAACGTCTCTTTTTACCAGTTTGAAAAAGCAGCTCTAATGAATTTAACAGTGACCCTTTTAGCAGCGGATAGACAACTGTGTTTCCTGACACAGCTATTCCTATTTAGCATCTGTACAATGGCACAGTGGGAGAAAAAATTGGTGTCAGACTTTTCATCTGATATAAAGAGTTCAGCATCAATGTATGCAATATGAAGTCCAAAATTACAGCTAGGAAAAATATGGAGTGGGAGCAAGTCCATCATACAGGATCCTGTTTTTTCCTGCCAAGTGACAAGTGGAAGGTTTTCCTGGCTGTGAGGACCATGGTGTAAAGAGTCCCACATCTTTGTTTCCATTTCCCCATTTTGGGCAGGCAGAAAATCAGCCAAAGCATCTGAGAGGATCATGAAAGAATGAAAGAGTGAATGAGTTTTCCCAAATCTCTTAATCCTCAGATACTAACCCGAACAATCAGAACCAGTCACATGTATTGCAAAAGGCCAGTATCCAGACTAATTCCTGCAGAGTTACAGACAGTGGATAAAGTTTTAAGACCTTCTTATTATTTTCTTTAAGCAAAAAAAACAAAAAAAAAACAAAAAACAAACAAAAAAAAAAAAACAAAAAAAAAAAACCAAAAAAAAAAACCCAAAAAAAACCAAAAAACAAAAAACAAAAAACCAAAAAAAAAAAACCAAAAAAACCCCCAACCCACAACATGTTTTTAAAGCTTAAGAGAAGAGCACTAAACACTGAGACTAACTGAAAAGGGAAGAGGGCAAAGTTGCATTTGCCATGCCCTGTTGCATACAGAATCCTGAAAAATTCAGCCTCAGTCTACAGATACTGAAACCAAATGGAGAAAGGTACAGCATTCACACATGGGAATGCAGATAGTGAGAATAAATCAGCAGAGAATTCAATAGAGGTACAAGGCTGGCAGAGTAATGCATTGGCACAGCCTCTATTCAACAAATGAATCCTCAGGGCAGCATATTTCTGGGAAAGCTTTTGGTCATTCCTTTCTCACCACTCCCCTGCACCCCAAATGAAGCGATGACTGAGTATTTACAGCCTGGCCGTGTCAGAGGGTTGACAGTCCTGCTGATTTAAAGCACAGTTCTACTAGGAAAAGTGGCTCTGTGAATGATAACCTCATGGCTTTCTATTTATTGCATCTCACTGATTTCCAGTTCAAGTGAACTGGAAAAAAGAATGCAAATAACTCAGCTAGGTTGGTTCTTTCTGGTTTATCGGTCAATGGCAATTAACAACACATGAGTCAAGCTCTGTCTTTCCATAGCTGAGCAAACAAAAGCTGAAAGGTTCACTGTAGCTTTCTACTTTTGCCACTTAGACGACTAAATGCTTCCCTCCAGAGCTCCTTTCCCTGCAATGTCCAGCTCCCCTTTGGCTGCCAGATGCCCTGAAGCCCTCTCCTAAAGGGAGAGACTCCAGGATCTCTCTTCCCAGATAGGAGAGGAAGGAGAAGGGGATACTATACTGCTTATTGTAGAGAAAAGTGAACTTCAGGCACAATTGTAGTGACTGTTTCCCTCTACTGTTTTTCCTTAGCTCACTTCCCTGCCCAAAACTGCCATACACTTGAAATGCCCATTGTTCTTTCACTTTAGCCCTACTTAAAGCATCATGCTACTAGCTATAAATATTGCATGGCAACAGAAATGATTAATAATTCCATCAAAATAGGTGAAAGCAGGCCAGTAGGAAAAAAAAAAAAAAAAAAGGAAAAAAGTCCAATATTTTCCCTATTAATCTGGTCCATGTGTTCTCCATTTTCTTTTCCTTTAGACAAATAGCCATTGAGAATTCAACGCTGTATATAAAATATTGCAAAAACGTAACCAAGCAGCTCAATTCAGCTGCTCAAATCATGCAAGGCTAGCAGCATTTTAAGTCTGTCTCTCAATTTGGTCTTGGTCAAACTCTGAGGGGGGCTAAGATTTCATGGACCAGGACCAGAGCTGGACACAGATGGGCCACAAAGTTATTTTTTTTCTTTTATTCAATTTTTTTTTCACACAACACCTAAATGCAGAAAACTGTTCTGAACAGATTTTTCAACTTTGGAGGTTTTTTTTTTTGAAATCAAAATAGAGAAGCCTGGATTTCCTGTTGTACTCTTTCCTTCTGCTCACCCCCTTCACTCTGCTACACTCAGAGATCCTTTTCCATCAGTTTGCTTTGCTATGCTGCAGCTTTTCAAAATTTGGCTATGTTTAGGAAAACACTGAAAAGCAGCAAAAGGAAAAATGAAAAAAGGAGTACTGCCAAGCCAGAGATGCAGCTAACTGTTACCTTTAGCGAGGAAGCATGAAAAACAAGAAAGAATGCATTTAAAGATGTAAATACTTCCTTTAGAAGTATTTCATAACAACTGAGAGACAGGCAATCCATTTAAAGTAAAGCTTTAACATATTTAAGGAATCTCAGCTCTGCTTTCTCACAGGAAGCTGAACTCAAACTTTGACCTCCAGTCCTTCCATCTCTCAGCTTTAGGTCACTAACACTGTGGGGGCGGGTTGGGTCTTGGGACAATGTTTACCACTTAAAAATGGAAAGAAAAAAGGGGTTCTAGCAATCCCCAAGGAAGCATTGTTTCTTTTTGGGCAATGTGCTTTCATATGTATATGTGTATATATATTTATTATTTTCTTTTTTAAAATGAGATACATTTTTAAAGAGGCCAGTGCCAAAACAGCAACTTGATTTTCACTTTTCCTTGCTTGTGCTCACTTTGCATTTCTCCTGCAGGTCAGAACATGTGAAACTACAAATAGAGAGACAAGCACCACTTCAAAAATGCCTGGTTTTAGAAGCCTACTTGCTCTTCAATTAGCACATAGCTCTTCTGTTAATAAACTCCCATGTATCTCTGAACACAACCAATGGCAAGTTGCCTTCTCTCCCACAAAAGACACTGAAAGCAATTAGTGGAAAAACAAGTAACTGTTATTAACAGTTACATTTTCTGCCTGGGCTACCAAGGCCCATGTGGCTGTAACAACCAGCAGCTCTCAGCAAAACGAGCTACAGCAGGCTGCTGAGCCAGACAGAGCACCAGGGAGAAATCAGTCCCTCCAAGGCATTCTTCCCCCTGGCATCCATCAGACATATAGATATAAAAGTTCAGCATGTAAAGGCCACATTAGCAGACGCATCCTTAGACTGCTGCGGAGACGATGGCTGCAATCACATCATCTGCGCCCTCAAATTTACCTGTTCTTTGGAATTCTGCTTTGCAGTGTATTTGAAGGATTTCTTGCTTGACTGATCTTATTTTGTTCACACAGAAGCATTCCATTGTTTATTTCTTTTAGGCTCTTAGAGAGGGAGAAAACCCATTCCCAGAGTTAGAGCTCTGTCTTTGCAGGAGTCCCCTCACAGGCCCAATTTAAAAGCACTCAGGTGGTGCCTGATGTTAACTTGAGACACCTGCCATGGTAGCAAAGCTGAGCAGAAGAGTGTCTGAAAGAAACTGTATTATTTTCCAAGTTACCCTGCTGTGCCAGTTTTAGGGAGTTTTCATCCTGCCTCCTGTCAACCTGCCCTTGCTTCTTCCCTACTGTGTTCCTGATCTCTGCTCTGTCCTGGGCAAATATTCCAACTTTCAGCCACAACACTAAAATGTTCTCTCTCACTTCTTGGTCCATACATTTCCTGCTTTAAAATGCCAACACCTCTGTCTTTTCCCACAAAACAGTGTGCTTCTACTGTACAATAGCTTTTAGCTATACCAGAGCTTTCAGTTCCATTGTGTATTCATCTAGAAAATTAAATTTTAGATGGCAATGGTCCCTGCTACTTTTCCCTGGACAAGGCTTTGCCAGACACTTTCTCATTATGTCACTTGGATTCAATTACACTTTCCTTTGGACTAAATATTGCCACAGATACCCAATACTTTCACTCTGCTATATAAAAATAGAGAGACCTTTCATCCCTTTTTATTTATTTTTTTTTTTTTTAAATTCTAGCACTGTTCATGTGTAATACGACAGAAACCTTTGCTGCCAGCATTTCTGGTTTCTCCCCAAACTCTCAACCAACTGGTTGCATTTAGACAGCTGGAATCTAGCCCTGTGTTAATAATGTGAGGAGAAGTGTTTCCATTCACCCTGGTGCCCGGGAGATGGATATAACCTCTGCACACCTGAAATCCAAGAACACCCCTGTGGCATGTGGCACAGGACATTCCGGGAGCTGCAGGCTACGGCCTCCTTTTTAATGGGCTTGTTTCCTCTCAGTGCTTTGGAGCAGCAGGAGAATAAAAGGTTATATTTGTAAAAACTATCACTGCTTCAAATTGCAGTAACATACGTGGCTTTTCCCAATACATTGCCACTAAAGGGCTTTACAGCTTCCCTTGCCCGTTACCTATAAACCCCCTTGCTTCCACTGCCTGCCTCTTTGGCTGCTGGTGGACCTGGGAAAAAACCATTTTTACTGGCGAAAAAGCCCATGAAGCAGGCGGGGAGACATAGAGAGGGGCCCAGTGGGACATAGGTATTCAGGCATGACACGAAAATCCCTAAATTAATCATGAGGAATTGAAGAAATACCTGAAAGACCCTTGATGTGGAAAAGAAGTGACTAAACTTGAGGCTCTCCCTGGCTGCCCTTGCAGACAGCCACCTGATGATACATGGGTGGGTGCATTTTGGGCCCTAGCAGTGTGAAAGCACCCAGGATGCATCCAGCTACAGGAGCTGAAGGTAGTGACTGAAAGGTTTTTTTTAGGCACATTTTCTGTGTAAAACACTTTTCCTCAATAGGGGTGGCAGCAGCAGGGTGGAGGGAACGACCACAAAGTTTGGAAGTCTGTTCAAACACAAGTCCTCCTCCCCAGTAAAGGTAAATGACCCTCTTTTGCTCACCTCACAGCTTTCTGGTGGGGCTAGAGCAGATGCTGTGATACCAATATAGCCACGGCAGCAGTGCCTAGCTGTAATCATTAGCCAGAAAGAACAGGCTGTGGAAAAGATCTGCTGTAAAATAGCCCATTACTTCATGGCATGGATTCCAGGAAAACACGTTGTATTTTGGTTACGGATACTTGGAGCGGGAACTGCTAGTACGGCACTCGAGATAAGGAAGAGGCCAGATAGACCTAAATAGCAAAGCTTGGTATGACTTCTTATGTAATTATCAGCTCCCCATCACCATGAGGTCTGCGTGTCTCAGGCAGCTAAAAATAGAGCAGCTTCCCCCTGCCCTTCTCTCCTTCCAGCCTGTGTGAGGAAAGACCTGACTCACTTGTGTTTGGGAGAGCCCTCTGAGCTCCCATGGGCTTTCCCTTCAAAAGCAATATAAAAATAATATTGATTTCCTAAGAGTATTTTTGTAATAGGGTTTTTTTTTTCCATGTGGCACACTCACAAGATGCTGGGACTTTCACTGTAATTTCCAGTGCTTGATAATACTGAGATGAGATATTTCAGTTACTAAGCATAAAAAGAAACATCCTGTAGGCTGGAATAGAAACATGGGCAACACTTCTTCCAAATTGCTTATTAAAAAAGCTATATTCTCTGAGAGAGAAGACTTGGAAATCTTGCCCTTAGAAATGCAATGTTTATATTATTTTCTGGTTACTTCCGTAAGGCATGCCAGATTAAGGTGTGAGGATAATATTAATTCAGTGCCTGCTATTTATTCATTATTCCTGGAGAAGGTCCCAGGCATATGTTTTGGTGGCAATTACAGCTTTTTCACTTGAAGCTGTGATTGAAATTCACCATATTTATACAGATACTAATATTAAGTGGCAAAATTTGGTCCCTGTTTGGGATCCAAAATTTCAGTTGTTGCGTTGCTTGGATCAAGGGGATTGTTTTTTCTGATATAATACATAGAGTTGAAACTCAGATATTTCAATGATTTTGACCACATCCTGCATTCAGGGAGCGTGAAATGTCTGGGTTTGGGCTGGAGAGAGGAGGCAAAATTGCTACTGTCTGCTCACACTTTGTCCCAGCCTCTGCCTATGTTAAATGAGGATAATTAGCATTTTCTTGCCCCTCAGAAGATCTGAGAGATAGCCTGCTGATAAGTTGTTCCTCACACTGCTTGCCAGCTGCTTAAATAAATATTTTGTGAACACTCTGTAACTGCAAACACATCACATTTCTACTCCAAGTCTTTCAGATTTTTGCACAGCTTCAAAGGAATGCTGTCGTAAGAGCAGGGATACTCTGGGCTGGGAGAGAAGAGAAGGGTCCAGAGCAGGGTGTCTGGGGAAAGGACAAGGGCAAATAACACAGGATGTCCTCCTGGGATGAGCAGCCAGAGCAGCTTTGCAGTTCACCCAAGGTGTGCCGTGGTTTCCCTGTGCTTCTGTGCCAAGTGGATGGAGCTCCTGGATTCAGGTGGACAGAGTAGAACACTCGCCTGTGAGAGAAGATGATGAGTGGAGGTGGTGCAGACTCAGGGGGGCTCCAAGGAAGGTGCCCACTCAGCAATGATCATCCATTCTCCCCCACCCCACAAGAACTGGAGGGCACTGAATGAAATTGCAAGCAAAGGGAGGCTCTGTTTTGTATAAATCAGAACTGAACTGCAGAGCCTGTGGGATGTTTTCATAATTAGGCTTTCACATGAGTCTCAGGAGCTGTTTCATAAATCCATGGAAGAAAAGAGGTCTGTGAAATCTTATTAAATACCATTTCTGGCATAGAATCTCCAGAAGTTCTGGGAGAGCAAAGCAGGAAAGTATTGGTGCCTGTCCTGCTTCTCTTTGTGGTTACTTATTGCTGGTCACTGTTGGAGACAAGACATTGACTCAACTGGACCCTTGGTCTGAGTATCTATGGTTAGGGGGGCTTCCATTTTTCTGTGAAAAAAAAAAAAATCTTGTTTCTATCTATTCAGGCTGGAGAAACAAGCTTGAAAAAGAGGAGAGGAGAGGAGAGGAGAGGAGAGGAGAGGAGAAACTTCAGTCACTCCCAAAATAGGCAAGATAGTAAAACCCTGAAAAAGCAGATCTTTTTTTTCACTTGCCCATTTCTCTTGGCCTCTCAGACCAGCACGTCTGGCAGACTGAAGTCTGGGGAGACAAGGAGAGAGCCCCAGGGGCTTGTCAGGGAGTTCAACACTGCTGGGCTCTGATGCAGCAAAATAAGGTTTTAAACTATACTGTGATGAAAAGACAATTTGGTGCCAGGCAGAAAAGGCCACACCACCTCAATTCCCCACCTGAAAAAAGTGTGTGGCTTTTAGGTAGCATGACAGCGAGGAAGAAAATATAGCACAACGTAGGCTCAGCCCGGCCAGGCAGCTGAAGTTCAAGTTATTTCCACATTACAAAATACCTTAGGGGACATGCAATTTTTCCACTAAAGTTTACAAAAAGGATAACAGAGATCCTACTGGTCTCTTGGCAATTTTCCTCCTCAGCAAATCAGAAGCAGTTTCTTGTTCAATGGCTGTGCATTGTCAGGAAATTTACTGCGTTTCTTCAGCAGGACTCCTGCTTTGTGTACTCTCCTGACAGTCACACAAGCACTGAGACTCAAAACAATGTCAGCCTGTTTAAAACCACCTCAAGACATTTTTTAATAGCACGATTTGTTTCTGTAGGTATTTGCACTTTTAAGGAATTTATTATCATTCTGCTGGGGCAATCAGTGTCTGAGACTGGCCTGTAATGTCAGTCACTGACACTTCACTCTATCCTATTTTTCATCCCAGATGTGTAAAAAGAGTAGTCACATCCCCCTTGGTCTTCTTCTGCTGCATTTAACAAGGTGAATGAAGTTTGGTCCTGTAAGAGAAACTTTTCATCCCATTTTCTCCACATGCTGGTGCCCAGATGGTCACAGCGACCCAAGCATGAAAAAGTTGCTGATGATTCTGAGCTCACTTCTGTTGGATTGTCCATAGACGGGGTTAGGCAAAAAGACCTGGTTGTACTAATTGCTTGGATACAGCTTTTTTATATCCTTTATGAAGATGGAATTAGCCCTTCTGTTGCTTCTGGTGGATCAACAGTTTCCACTCTAAGCTGCTGTTTTCGTTTGCTTTGCATTTACCCAACTCCAGCGTGTCCAGTTTCACATTTTCCGCACTTGTAGTCTGCTCTGGGATGGATTTTTTTTTTTCTCCATCTCAGGAAATAGGGATCATTTATTTCCAAGAACATGCCTGTGGAAAATTAGTTGTTAATGTTAAATACATCCATCTGTTCCTTTGAAGAGATTTGCCACCTGCTTGCAATGGAAAGGAACCAGAAATTTGGCAAGGAGAAACTCTAGTGAGACACCTTCTGCTGTCCCCATGAAAATCTACTCCCACTGAGCTCCCTATAAATGTGTGGAAAATACCAATTTCATATGGCACCCACTAGCACACGTCTGGCTGTTCCAGGAGAACAGTTCTGCTCCTCGGCATGGAGGGAAAGGACTGGGATGCATCACCCCAAGGACCTTGCACGACTGATAACAGCAGAAGTCCATCTCCTCACCTCCTATTGCCTGATCAGTCTTTGGCTGGTTCAGTCCAGAACAAGGTCCTGAAGATGACAAGGGTCTTCTGGAGCTTTGCTTTAAGGTGAAGAATGCACCTGACCTTTTAAATAAAAATGCCTGCATGATATATAACTAGGAATACAGAGGAAAAATGCATCTGAGCAAAACAGTCAGTATATTGTATAACACAATAATCCCTACAGAAGTCTTCTCTCGGGGGATTTTACCATGAAATATTGGCACCAGGACTGCTGGCACGCAGTCATCTCCTTGTGCTGGCAGAGGAGAGAATCAGTAACAGTGGATTTACACCTGACTCTGACATTTTGCAGTTAGCTTTTCATGTCCTGCTACAACCTGTAGCACTAACAAGTACAATCAGAGTGCAATGCAGACACACCATAAAGCAAGTAAAATACATGGACAGACATTTGAACTCTTAGTAAGCCGTAGTATATTTTAATACATAGGTAAAAGTTACAGGTACAACAAAGGCATTCCAGCACCAAACTTTTCACCTAAATACTTGTCCATTCAAGGTGCAGACAGAACACTGACTATAGGCTCTGGATGAGGTGCAGAGCAAGAACTGATCATCACCTTGTGTTGAGATGAACCAGGAGATGCATCTTGGCTGTTTCCACCTTGCCAGACTTCATCCTGCAGTCACCTGGTCCATGCACTTGAACCCAAGCACTGGGGGCAGTTTTGATTACTCCTATGTGAGAAAGGAGTCTGCTGTGTAATGTGTACCCAAGGTTTCATCTCCCCACTAACTTGCTTTACTTTCATGTATTTGTGAAAGAACCAGACAAAAAATACCAAGGATAACCTGCACAGAGAAGCAACAAAAAGCAGACGTAACAACAACAAAAAACATAACACCAAAATCCCAAGGGCTGGGGGAGAGGTAAGGAAATTTAAAAAGAGGGTATTTACCATGCAGTATTTTCCCATTTTTGCACATCCCATCACAAACCCTGACCCCCAACCTTTTCCCCCTGATCCCTGACCTTTGACACTTGGCATCGCAATCCTTACCCTTTATCCTTGGCCCCTGGCTTTTGACCCCTGGCTCAGGAGCCTGTACCCTGACCCTGGGCCCTATCCTGGTCCCCAGCTCTCTGCCCTGTCTGTACAGAGACCTGCTGCTGTGTGCTGTAACCCCAAACCCCGGTGTGTAACCTCAGCCCCCACCCCCTGCCTGTCACTGCACCTGTAGGTGCCATCCCTGCCTTTCTGGGGTGCTCTTGTCCTCCTGTGAGGGTTCTGGTGTTGGCCTGGAGTTATGATTGCTCCTGCTGCTGCTGCTGCCACGAGGGAGAAAATGGCATCCTTAGGGCAGTACCACTTTCTACTGCTGTTTTTTAATTTTATACTACAGATTAAAATTACAATCTGGTTTAAACACAGAGGAGCAGAGGAGACGAGGTCTCCATAAATAAAGCAGATCAAACCCAGAAAGGTTTGAAATATATCCAAAAAAATGTGATTAAAACCAAATCAGGTTAGATGTTGGTGCCAAAAGTTTCTTGTTCAGGTGTGTCTCCTGAAAAGAGGGAAATGGGTGGATGTTTGGGAAATGAGTGAGCTTTCTGGAAGAATGTGGTATTAGGTCATGTTTCGTACCAGCCCAAAGCTGCAAGATTCATTAAGATTCAAGTAAGTAAATTTTCTTATTTGAAAACTTATTTAGCCATTGATTTAACTATTAAAAAATACCATTGCCCATAAAAAAAGAAAGTGTTTACACTTGAGGTCTGGATTTTCTGTTATTCATGAAAATTGGAACACATCCTATAATTGTGCTATAGAGAGTTTTAGCAGAAACAATTATTCATTAACTTTCATTTGGATTTAGGTCAAAGATCAAAGTCTGCTATCACAGTTTTTATGTACTGACTTTAGCTAATTTTTTTCAGTTTTGTTCATCTGATACCTGCCATCCCAGCTAAAGTCATTGTATTTCAAAAGTAGGTGTGCAACTTCAGGTTTTACCCAGCCAGTGAACTCTAAATTTAGATGTTATGCACTCAAGCAAGTGAATGCTTGCACCTGAGCAGTCTAAATGACTTGAAAATAAAGTCATATATGTATATTCTCTTACTATTAACTGGATCAGAGCACAGGTTTCAAAAACTTTGACTCAATTCTTTTTATTCCTCCTTCTGGTTCCTAAAATAATGATTAAATAAGAAAAACAAATAATGGATAATTCAGTTTAACGCCTAAGAAATTTTTATTCCATTTAAGTGAAGCAATACATTCCTTTGTGAAACAGGAAGAAACATTAATAGGTGTACATTTTTACGTGCCATCTATTCTAATGTGGCAACAGAGAAGCTTGCAAAATTCTCCTGCGTTGTACAATTCAAGACTAATTTACTCTGTGACTGATGTTTCTGCACAAGTCTCACAGTGACTGCAGTAAATCCATCTGATATTTCATACAACTTTAGGTTTTATCTATCATTATACCATATGTACTAAAATACATTTAGTATTTTAGCCTGCATCTGTTTAGACAAGCAGTGATCTTGCTAGCAGCTTCTGAAGCAATGGTACCAACAGTCTATGACTCTGACAGCATAAAAGTGAGATGTTGTTTGCACATACCTCAAGCCTGCTAATTTTCTGAGACACACTCACAGCACCAGCACAGTAATAGAACCAAACACATACAAGAGATCACTGGAGAGCCTTCTTGTAGGCCAACAGGTAGAATGCAAAACTTCAGATATGGAGGAATTTGTTGGCTATGACTTCAGGTCTTCCATTCTTCATCCTGCCAAAACCTATGGCAATACCCTGCCTACGGTCTTCCCAGTATAAGTCTGTCATAATCTGAGTGCAAAAGCTACTCCAGGACATGTTTTTGTAACATGGAACACCAAATGCATTTCCTATTGTTATTTGCAGTAATTACAACAGTACAAGTCAGGTCTAAGGCCTGGAAGCCTTGAAAGAACACTTGCTTCCTAACATCTGGCTCAAGAAGAAAAGAGATACAGTAGCTGAGGATATCAAATGCAAGAAGAAGTAAGGTCACTGACTGCACAGTTGGTGTAGGAAAAAAAAATCAGAGAGGCAAGTTCAGCAAAAAAATTACAAGAATCCAAGATGGCAGGACAGTATGTTTAGCCTAGGACTAAGCCTGCCCCATTTCCCATGAACATAACACATAATTAACATTTGATTACTCATTGTGGCCAAAACTATGCAGTGGATGAAAACCTGACGCTGTGGAGCTGCAAGTGAGCACGTCCCTGTCCCAATCCCCGGCAGCTGTCCTGCACTCTCTGCTCACTGTGCCAGTCCTCAAATGGAGGAATTGCCCTTGGAATTGCTGAGCTCATTGTAGATGACCTTGGCATGATTCCTGTGCCTGTCAGAAAACTCGGCACGCAGTGGGCACAGAGGCTTTGGCAGCCTGGCTGCAGGAACCACAGCCTGGTGCTGCCCCAGCTGAGCCTTGGTCCCCGGCACCACACACCAGGGCTACACACAGGCAGTCGTTTGCACGATGGGGCTGCACCCCCGATTTCCTCCCTGCTTTCCACAGTAAGGAGGTATGAGGGTCTCTAGCCAGCAGAGCACCCCAAAGAATGGCAGCATTAAGAGTGTCAGCACTGCATTAGGCAGCCTGTCACAGCAATCGTCTCTGTAACCCACCAGTGCCCTTTTTTTCTCTTTTCCTAAAAATTGCACAGTCTATGTCAAAAGCAAGTGTCTCAGTCCTTGCAAAGGTCTAGCACCTTGCAGAGCCTCAGGTGTGCAAGTCTGGAGGCATTCTTCACTCTCTTGTGTTGCTCTGAGTTTTAATTTGTTCTCTAATGGTGTTCCTGTCTAGCTTGTTGAAAACAAGATTTGTGTTGCCTTTTTTTGTAATGAAAAAAAAGTAATTAAAAGCACTTCTATGCTTACCATCAGGAAAATGGGCAGAGAGAAATTATTTCCCGAGATCAGGCAGTGCAATACACAAAACCTGGAAATTCTCTCACTGTTCTCTGCACAATCTAGGATACAGCCAGGGAAATAAACTGAGACTATGAACATAAACTTTCACTCTCTTGTTGAATGTCTGAATGCTATTAGTCTCCCTGGACCAAATATTTCCACAATTATATCCAGAGGAGCACCTGATTTCTACTAATATATATTGATATTATGTGAAGAACAATGTAGTTCAGGTTGTTTTCTATCTTTGAAAGTCAGAGACTGAAAGGGAATATGTGGAGAAATGGGAAAATGAGTAAAAAAAGGAAGAGTGCAGTTAGGAATAAAATGCTAGGAGAGTCCTGTGAGCCTGAGCCATAATGTGAAGCACAGATAAAATGAGCACAATTAGTAACCACACATAATGATCTAAGTGCAGATCCTGCAGCAAACACCACAGTACTGTGTGGTTGTCACCCCAAGATGATGTTTTACCCACTTTGAAGGCCTCTGGTAAGTGACCTGTAAAAGACATCTGCTGGTTTGTTTTACAGGAGATGAGAAGAACCTCCTCTGAACAGACAAGTGATATACAGCAGCCAAGGCTTTATTTTTATCAATGACTTGTCAAGCCAGCTGTGAGCATTCACCCTTTCAATCAGACTCATTAATATTTAATCAAGACTGTAAATTTGAAGGTACTCTGAACGCTTCTACAGTACTGTATGTTTTAGCATTTAGCACCTTACATTTTGACATTTAGGTGACCATGCTAATGCTGAGGTAAAATCCAGATTTCTATCACTAAACTTCAGAGGATTGGAAGCTGGGAACCAGTCACTTCCCAGTGAAAAACCACCAGTTTCTTTCCTTATGTTCAGCACACTGCCTATTTAAAAATAAAACACAGCAAAAACAATGCTGAGAATTATTTGATTAAACTCTAGTTGAGGTCATGTAGCCATCTGCCTTACTGCTGGGGCTGATGGAAGCTGCGGTCTTGCGGTGCTTCCCATCGCTGTCCAGAGCAGAGCTTCCAAAACAGGAATGCTGTTCCATGTGCAGATAGCAGAAGCATTCAGCAGCTGACCCTGCTCTCAGTCAGTCATTTTCCCTTCTGCTGGCACCCCCATCAGTGGCAACAGATCAGGCGGCCTCCTTGACCAATGCCACTCGATCGTGCTGCCAGATCTTCCACTGCTCATTTCCTGCAGCACAATCTGAAAGAAAGCCTGTTTCCATGCCTGAGCTGGTTTGGACAAAGATAAATCTGAAGGCTGCCTAGTGATTACTATATAAACATACAAAAAAGTCTGATGACCTAACCTACAAGGCTTCAGTTATTTGGTATAATTAAGTGGAGAAGATGCCAAGAAAATAATTACCAGAAAGTTTTCTTTTGACAAAGTTATGATAGAAATTTCTCAACAGCTTCAAGGAACTCCATGGATGAGCTAAGCCCTTCCAAATCCAGCAGATTTCCCTTTTTGTCATGAAATTGGAATAATTCAGTCTCTTCCTCTTCCAGTTCTTCCCGAAACAGATTGGTCTCTGAGGTAGGAATGATGATGATGCGAGGGACTGCATTGCTAATGAGAGAATCCACAACTCCATTCACTTGACTTCCTTGAGGTGCCATATGGGAGGTACTTGAGTCTCCACTGGTGACACTGCTGCTATTCAATCTGACAGGCAGAGAAGTTGCTCTCAGGGAGCTGGTCTTGAGTGCTGCAGAGGGACCGGGTAGGACAGGCTGCCCAAGAACCTTCTCCAAACAGCTCGAGGAGAGTGAAACCTGGAGTGGAGACATAAGATTTAGCATTGTCAGACACCACAGGGGCTGTGGAGAACAGTATTTGGAATATTCATTGCCACTAGTCAATATTTGAGCCACCAGGCCAATTTTCTAAATATTTGAATCATTAACTTGAAGGAAAATCATGATGTGCTAACATGTACTGCTTGGAAAGCAGAATGTTAAATGGAGCAAAAGAAGACATGCTCAAATATCAGCAGAGACTGAAAAGAAGAAAAAAAAGAAGAAAACAAAAGCTCATACTTGTATCTGACTTATTTAATCATTAAATAATGGTATTACTTCATTTTTAACACATCTCAGGGTGTCAGGGTACTAGACTATTGCACTTTGCTCTCTTCTCATGGAAGAGATCTCAGATAAGAGGCAATTACACATCATTCTTTATTTTCCTAAAGTTTTGTAAACCTTGTGACAATCTTTGTCTCTCTCCAAATGGCTCCTGTAACTACCTCAGGGAAGTTGGTGGCCTTGAATTCACAGACTGGAAAGTGCTTCCTCCAAGAAAGAAGCAATAAATACTCACTTTGCAAACAATTTCTTATCTGCCTGTTTTGAGAGAATTCTGATTTCTAACTTGGCTCTGATGGCAAAGCCTCTGTGTTCTTTCCATAAGTCTTGTGCACAGTGTGCAAATTCAGAGTCAACAAAGGAAGCTTTGAAAGTGTCAATTAACAGTCAAACACACAGGCCAGGGAAGGCATAAGTAGTCAGTTTTGGCTTCTTTAAAAAAAATTACAATCAAGGTGATAAAACCACTGTGTCAGATGGAGAGATAAGCTGGAAGTCCCTCCTTTATAGGGAAAATGAACATTTGAAGTAAAGTGCAGGTTTTACTTTATTATTCTGTGAATTCCCATAGTTCTGTGTCATTCTACTCCACAAGCAGGAATCATTCACAAATCCCCATTGATAATGATTTCTCCAGCTGCTCTACCTACCAAGTGGAGGGAAGAACACTGTGCTAAAAAATGTGGTTTAAATCAGTGTGACAGAGAAGAAAAGTCCATTCTTCCATATCAAAGGTAATAATAGAATGAAAAAAATCCAACTTCAAAATCACTCCTCCCTGTTTCAATTGCTGTTTCCACTGCAACAGAAGGATAGATTTCTTTTGGATGTGGCTTGGTGGGCACAACACCCACTTACTTTTTTTTTTTTTAATAGCTTTCACATCGGGTAATTCCCTTGAAACAAAACCTGGATGCAGAGGGGACATTTGACTACTCTCCTCTGAAATCAAGTACCCAAACCCACATTTTAATATTTCCAGAAAAGCCTCTTAACTGCCATGTTAAATTTCCAGGTGTCAGCCTACATCAAGTTTGTTACTATCATAACTGAAGTAAGTCATGGGGCTGGATCATATCTTCGTGGCAGCACAGAAAACAGTCACATGCATTTTTATGCTTTGGAATGCACCAAGCCTGGGACACTGGCTGGCTTGTCCACAACTGAGTTTTTTTGGAAGTACTCTAATTGGAATTCAGTCAAAGACAATCCAGTAACGCTATTAA